CAAGTGGTTTGCGTGATAGTTCAGTAATGGTAGGACAAAAATGCTATCAATTAGTTAACATCTTAGCCGAAGACTTAAAAAATCCCTTATTCTTAGCCAGGTGTTTTACTGGACCCTTAGTCGGCAAATGTGGACCCTTTCGATATAGGTTAGACAGTCGGCAAATGTCGTCATGACAGTCAGCAAATTTTGGAAAACGAGGACTTTTTTTTTTTTTTTTAGTCGGCTAAAGTTGTTATGGCACCCCCCCCCCCACGTGACACCTACTCGCGCAGGCCCTGCTTTTGAATATGATTGGTCCAAAAAAAATTTAATACATTAAATTTAGATGTTGTTTTGAAAGTTCATAAAGGTGTGTCGTTGGTCCAAATAAATGTTGTAATTTCGGAACAATTAAAGAGACTCAATCAAAGAAATCGAAATTCTAAGACTACAACACCTGAAGGAACTACACCTGAAATTTCAGAGTTTGATTAAAAACCGATTATTTTGTTAATATTAAAATAAATTGTTAAAATATAAAGTTTTTTTATTGTTAATAAGACTTGAAAATCCAAAGATGTTTACGTTCTGATATATATGTATATATATATATATATATATATATATACAATATTTAATACATTTTGAGATAATATTGACACTCTCACTATGAAGTATATCATGTATTATATGAATATATATGGTAACGACTTGTTGCCAAATTTATTTATAAAATACATAATTTATTTTTATTACAAAAAATCCTAAAGTTAAATATTTATCATAATAAGTATTTTTTATATAAAATATAAAATTTTATTCTTTCATTTACACGTGAGTAAGGTTTTTGCTTTATTTTGAAACGAGTACATCATTTGCTCTGCAGCTGATGTTTTTGTTTTAACAAAAAATGGTCAATTTTTGGAGAATGTTGCTTTATTAACATTGTTGTAAGCAGTTGTTTTTTGCTTCTTTAGTAGCACTTCTTTGAATTATCTTTACATTGGAGTAATGTTAATTTTGATTGGTATGGAGATAGCATACAATAGAAAAAAAACTGCTGTTATGTGAGTTTTTATAAAATTTAGTTTTTTCTGAGGGCCTAATTTAAAAAAAGATATTAAACCTGCTTTGTTTGGGATAATTTTGTTAATATATGGATATAAATTTAGAAAGTTACTGAACAGTTTCAAAAAAAATCTTTTACTACAAAAATGAACAGACGCTAAACAAACACATAGTTATATAGTTAGTCGCAGGTAGTATGTTTAGCTTTACATAGTATTTATTTGTAATTGTTCTTTATTTCTAGTATATGGTAATTTTTATTTATTTAAGCATGTGTGTGTTTGACATATTTTTGCCACACAAAACCTAATTTTTGTGGGAAGTAATATATATTTGAGAGGAGAACATTCTTGAGACCATGTAAAAGTATTTTTAATATTATTGCTTTTTTGTAGTAGTTGGTACATTTAATTACTGCTTGGTATGTTTTTTAGAGACTATTTTTACGTTTAGATATTGTTCAAAAGTTCTTAAAGTCATCCAAGTAAACGATGCTGTTAAAGCAGTTTTTTGAGGAGTTAAAGAAACTTAATCAAATTACTCGAAATTCTCTTCGTAGAGCAGCCGAAGTAACAATACTCAAAATGCCTGGAATCGATAATTAACCAAGTAATAAATAAACTTTGAAATAAAATTTAAAAGTAAAAAATGTCTTGTTTATATACAGCTTGTAAATTTAATTGTCGAAGTTACGTAAATAATACTAAAAATATATCTATAAAGATAAATATTTAAACAACCTAACAGCTAATAGTACCGTAAATTGCACACACAAAAAATACGAATAAATACGTATTAATACGTTCAAAAGATTCGTATTTAAAACACCCAAGAAGCGGCCAAAAGTACCGTAAATAATACGAATAAAAAATACGAATAAATACGTATTAATACGTTCAAAAGATTTGTATTAAAAACATCCTAGAAGCGGCCAAAGTACCGTGAATAATACGAATAAAAAATACAAATAAATACGTATAATTTTGCTTGGGTATTAGCTGGTTTACTCTCCAACAAATCATACTTTCTTATTAATTCAATTTCAGTTAGATATTTTAGTACTGGAACAAGCAAAAGAAAAAAGAATCTAAAGCTTTTAAAATATGAATTTGATCTCTGATGCTGCAGTTTCCATTTGAACATTGAACGCTACTTCGCATCAAGAGTTGTTTATATGTGGCTGTGAGTTGTTGGCATTTGATATTGTTGTTAAACATTTTTGCAGATCTCTTAGCTAAATAAGATCTCACAGCACAATAAAGAGCTTGTTAGATGGTTTTGACTGAGCTTATATGTTAAATGATTTTATGGTGAACTTTCTTTTTTTTTTCAGTCGAGATATATACTTTAAACAGATTTAACTGCTACCAAATATCTAATGAAATTAGTTTTTAAACTATACAAGATCATTTGCGTCTCAATTAATCTCTTTAAGACTAATGATATAATTATATGCCATGTCAATAAACGGAAAACAAAGAGTCTTGTTACATGCACACAATGCTGACTTGTATCGATTGGCAAATAGGTTTCTTCGAATAGATTATGCGAATAAACTCATTGGCATACATATAAAATAAACTCTAACATATAAAATAAAACGAATAAAACATAATAAAACATAAAAAATAAAACGAAACATATAAAATAAAACGAATAAACTCATTGGCATACATATAAAATTATTTAACTGCAACATACAGTTTAATAATATAAAAAAGTCAGCAAACTATAACATATATCCATAATTCTTAATACCATGTAAACATATATAACTTTAATTAAAGAGATATTTCAGAGAGGTGTTATGAATATTTGTATATTAAAAATTTAATAAATGCATTTTTTTCAAGCAAATGTATTTTTACATACATTTTTATCACTGATTGTACTGAGTGATTATCCTTTAAGTTATAAGAAATGATTATTTACTTTTTATTTGTTTTAAAAGTTATTATAAATAACTATAATTCAGACCTGGTTTTTTTTTACCAATATAAGTGGCAGTTTAAAATATTTTATTCATATAATTTATGCAATAATAGCATTTAAGTATAATATAAGTCTAGAAGAAGCCCCTGAGTTTTTTTGTACTTACAGCACTCAGTTAATAGTTCATGCAGCATTTGTACAAATTGGTATCTTACTTAAAAAATATAAAGTATATAATTGTAGGTAGACATGATTGCTGCTGTTTACCATGCTGTTATGAATGGTAAACAGCAGCAGTTATTAACCTTCTAGCAAACAGCATTGGGTTCTTGTTCATAGTTATAGCATTCTTAGTTAGAACTAAAAGGCACATAAATTATATATAAAACTAAAATTGTAAATTTTACTGATGCCATTTAATAATAAATTCAATTATTTAAAAAAATAATTTTTTTTTTTTTGTTTTTGTTTTTGTTTTTTTAACAATTGTTTTAATCTTATTTCATTATTTTCTTTTTTATTTTGATAAAGTAAAACAGAATGTATATCGGTTTCACCGCTAGGAACTAAAACTGCCGCCATCTTGGGAGGCCAATTTTGGCTTCAACTTTTTTAAAAACAATAGAATCCGCTATCCAGTTATATCTTGAGATCAGTGGTATAAATGAATACCGTCAACTGGGGTAAATATGAACGTTTTTGAAACATTTTTGTATCATGGAAGAAGACTGTTGGCCTAATCGCTACCCTTTTTTTCGTAGCAGAACATAATACTTTCCAGCTTTCTAAAATATTCCTAGGCCTGATCTGCACCATGCAGTAAGTATTTTAACGTTTTGGTTTTATATGACCATACCCATATTTCCTAAATGGGGTGAAAATGAACAGCCGATTCGGGATGACTTTGAACAATACATTATATTTTAATTTTTTATTTTGTGCGCTTTTTAAGTTGCTCAATGTCCGTTAATTAAAGTTTTTAGCCTCAAAGTGTTATTTAACTTGTTTAATGTGTTATTTTTGGAAACTTTGAAAGTATAATAATAAAAAATGTTGCCTGTACTTTGTTTAATATTCCTAGCTAAATTTTTTCTTTTTTAACTTCGAATAATAGTTTCTAAAGTTTGCAGAAGAAATCTTAGATTATTTGTAGCAAATGTCATTTTTAAATGACCATAAAATCTGAAAAAGACAAATTATACCATAATTTACAGTTTTATTAGAGCAATATGTATTTGAACTTGATGTGCGCCAATTTTTATAAAGTTCTAACTAGTGGTTCTTAAGACATTTAGTTTAATTGTCCAAACAACAGAACCACTATTTGAGACTTACATGAGATATTTAAAGTAGGTGAAAAATAAATTTTTGAGGGTAGCTAAAAATTAACTTCTTTATATTATATCTAAGTCATCTGAATCAAAATAACACACTATTTAGTCATATCGTGCATTATCCTTCACCATTTAATAAACTTGGTATTGATGTTCATTTTCACCCCGTTGTTCATATTCACCCCAGCTGACGGTATATCACTACATGTCGCTACATAAAAAGTTGTAAACATGAAAATATGTAATTACTAAGTTTCATCGGTGGATGAGAACTAGCATTAATCAGAAATTATTTTTTATAACTTAGTAGTCATAATGCAAATTTCATTTGAATTCACTTTTTATCATTTTCAGATCAAAAAGGAGATACTTAAAAAAAATAATAATAATAAATTAACAAAACAAAGGATTGTGAAGATTGGGGAATCTAATTTTTCATAATAATTGTTAAAATTATTTCAAGCAAAATTTTTTCTTAAAGAAAATTTTTGCTAATAAGTAATATAATTACAAACAACGACAAGTGGTAAAAAAATCAACGATTATAAGAGAATAAATCCACTATTTTATAAAAAAAACTCAACTTTTATATAGAATAAAAATCTTTCAAGTAAAGTTCTTTGCTTTCTTTTTTTTTAAATAGGCAATGATCTTTTTTTAAAAAATAAAAAAACGCACGAGAAATAAAAAATTTAGTTTGATCCGTGGATTTTCCTAATATTCTATGCCTTGTGCAAAACCTCACGTTTCTGAGGTAAATCGGTGCCTTCTCGTATCCAGTACCTAAAAAAAAATAATTGATTTGATATAAATTGATTAGTATATATAAAAAAAATAATAATAATAACAATTTAAAATACCATACCAAACATGTTTCGGGTAATCCATTCTTGTGATTCCAAACCATCTTTCTTTAATACCAGTATATATCCAGGTTGATAAATAAATACTATCTTTATTGTCTTGAAAGAAGAATAAAATATTTTGCTTAATAATAAAACGATGAAAATAATATCATACTGTTGAAATAATAAAATCAATAAAAAGGAACATACATATTTACTTACTAGTTAGTGAACCCCATATTTCATCTACTGATGAAATACCTCTAGCTGTAGTTATAAGAGAACCAGAAACATATGGAAGCCGTTGATCAATACTTTTATAGCCAAATTTCCATTCATCAAACTTTTTAACAAGATTTACATTAGTTTGTTTAGCATTAGTAGAAGATAGGTCATACTTCATAGGTGCAGAAAATACTCCTCCCCATCGACCTTTAGTAAAACATAATTTAGAATTATTGCAAAAATTGTAAATATTGTTAACTTAAACATTAAAGTTTCTTTACCTAGTTCGTTAGCTTCTAACCTATACATAAATTTATCTGCTTTGATTTTGTAGCCCTTTTTCAATTCATTGGCATACTTAAATATTGAGTAGTCGTTATAAAGATCTGGTTTATCAGAATTTCTTTTCCACACATTTTCACTATTCCAGGTATTTGAATGTGAAGATACTATAAGTGTCCAGCCGCCACCATCACGTGTCATATCACAATAAACATTTAATGTAAGTTTAGAATTTGGTTTAATTGTGTAAATGCCATCATACAATGGTTGTCCTTGTTTTTCTAAACGTCTTTTAACCGCCAGGCAAGATTCTGCAACTATAAAGTTAGTAAAAATTGAAAAAAAATAAAAACAGATTTAAAAATAAGTTGTTTTTGAAACTGAGCCTACTACTGTGTATATAAGACAAAATAGTACAAACAAATTCTGTTCATTAAATTTTTTTTATGTAAACTAACCTAGACATATTCTTTATTTTTTTTTAAAGAAAAGAATTTAAAGCTGCAGCAATGGTTCCTTTAAACTAATAGATAACTGACCAAAAGAAAACACTCAGTTGATTTAAAAAAAAGTTTTAGTTGGCCGTATGTTGGCATCTTGTGTGTGTGACCCATTGTGCCTATCTAGGGTCATATATCCTCAATATTGTCGGCCGTATGTTGGCAAAAAATGTTTAATATAAATGCGACAGCTGGACAGCTATATATATATATTTTACTGGGGTTGCCTTAAGTCGGAACATCTTTGGTGAAAAATATATATATATATATATATATATATATATATATATATATATATATATATATATATATATATATATATATATATATATATATATATATATATATATATATATATATATATATATATAATGACTATAAAAAGAGTTCAACATGACCGCTGTTGTTATCACTATCCTAACCAACTTTTTTCAATTATGTTAACTTTTGCAACATTTTTGTGCTTTAAATAAAATGGGTCAATTGATGTAGTGATTGAATTTAATTTAATTGAATTTTTGAAGCAATCAATTCTCAAACCATTTTAAAAATCAATCTTGACAAGTCGCTAAGCGAGAACCAAGAGGTCGTATACCCAGATTTGACTTTTTTTCTGTTTATTACTGAAAAATGTTTACTAAAATATGTACTCTATGATGAAATCTGTGTTTTGAGTGATTCTAGTCACAAAAATCAGAAAACTTAAGTTTATATTAAAAGAACCAGAAGGCTGTATGTCCAAAAAAGTGATGACTGCTATTATCAACTAGCCGCATGTCCTTTGACAAACCAGATTAGCCAAGACTTTGTTTGCGCTGTAAAAAAACATTGTATTATTTATTATTTGTATTGTGTTTCCGTTAACATAACATAAAACATTTAAAAATAATTTACCATTAACAACAACTAGGAAACAGGGTAAAAATAGAGTCCAGGTCGCACTGACATTGGAAAAGCAATTTATTTATATTTTGTTTAAAAAGTTTTAAAACTTAAACTCAAATCTAAAAAAATTACTTCATCAAATGTACTGTTAGGTGCTTAAAACACGGAAGACAAGGTTTATTAGTTTTTGGAAATTTTTTTCATGCTTATGAAAATACCTTTTCTCTCTCTCCCTTTAATAAATCTTACTTGATATTAACAAGAATTAATAAAAAAAATCTAAAAACTAAAAAAAAAAAAACACAACAAATATATATCAGTCACTGATAAGAATAAAAACTATAAGTGTAATTAGGCTTTTAAAAACATCAACCTTTAAAAAATACTGTAAATTGTGATTCGTCAAATAAATGTTTATTATTGTTTCCAAACATAGTATAAAACTTATGAAAGCATATCAAATCCTAAAGAATTATAATAAAACAGCTGTTTAAAAATGCGCATTAGAAGGCATGCAACTTTAGAATTAAATTGTTTATTCATATATATGTTAAAAATTCCCATCCATATTTTTATTAGCACCTCCCCCATCCTTGTACTAATCACCTGTGAGTAGTCATATAAACTGTTTTCTGAAAAACGCTGTTTATTAAATTTTATGGAAATGCAAACCAGCAGGCTGCATGTTCACAACTAGATTCAGATTGCAATCTTTTTAGATTAAACCCACCATTTCAAACTTTTTTTTATATCTAATAAAAAAAAGACTTAATTTACTATTTGACTTGAAAATATAAAGATTTTACAAAAATATCAACTGTCAGTTATTTAAAAAAATATCAATTTAAATAATTATCATTGTATACACACATCTAGTGCATTTTTACTAATAATTTATAACTAAAAACAAATAATTGTTTATAGTAAACATTTGAATTTTTTTTTTTTTTAATTGTTTTTAACAATATTTTTTAATAGAAAGTACAGATAACCTTGTTAACTTTTATAATTTACAGTATAAACATTTATAAACTAATGTTATTTTTTTAAATCATTTTTTAAAATATGGATATTTACTACTTTGAAATAATGTTGAAAAACTGAAAAAAAAAAATACTTACAAATGAAGTGTTAATTAACGCATAACAAAAAGTTTAATTGTGTAGTTATAAACTCTTTAAATGTGTTTTGTCTATGTCATTTAAAATTAATGCAAAAATTTAAATTAAAAGCAAATTATTTTTTATGGTAAACTTTTTAAACAACACTTATTATTTATACACGTTATTTATTTTTTTACGTTACTATTTTTACACGTTTAACATACACAATAATTATGAGTAGTTTTGTCCAGATATTGTTTAAATAAAGTGTTGTATCCATATTTGGATATGAATGCAACATTTTTTCTTAATATTATGTGGGTAAAACTACACTTAACTAACATAATTAGCAATCAAAGTTATTGAAATATTGTAATTTGATCATTACCTGGACAAGGTTCACTGTTACATGATACCTCTTTGATAGATTTTTCAATACTGTATATCTGTATTTAAAATGAAAAGAAAAAGTTTTTTTACTATTTCTGTTATAACTTTGTATTAGTAATATGTAACATTTATATTTGCATATATAATACTAAACTTCTGTTTTAACAAAACAAAAAACTTAATGTATTATTAAATAACTTATATTATATATCATAGATTCATAAACTCAAGTAAATAAACAAAAAAATATGGTATTAAATGTATTCAAATAAATACTCATTATTGGATAATCACATAAGTTTTTTGGTTCCAGGAATTTATGGATAATGATATTGACCCTGTAAACATACCTGATATACACCTAAATATGTCCTAATAAATAGTAACATTGACTTATGATAAAAAAGGTTGCTTAAAATCAATTTTTTATTGCTATATGTCTTAATAAATAAGATTTTAAGTAATAAAAAGACTTTTACCTGATTTGATGTGCCTAGGTCATTTTCTAAACGTGAATTATCGTGGCGTTTGGGAAACACAACTTCATCCTCAGGTAAAAATTGGGCTAAAAAAAAGTTGTCAATCAATTTTTACTAAAATTTCAAACATCTAGGTGTTTAAACCTGGACTTCTTTAGAATCAAAGTACTCAGTCTAAATTTGTAATCATAAAAATACCTAAACATACAAACAGAAAAAAATTTTCAACTTCAAACTAATTATTATAAACAGCCTAAAACTATTTTTCTAAAAACTATTTATCTATTTTTTAATCTTATGTTCAGCTTTTAAAAAATCCTTAAATTGAAGAGACTGTTATTAAATTGGCTATGGTTTAGTCATCAACATGTTTTTTTAGTTATTCTATTTTGAGTTTAAAAGGAGATGGGTTAAAATGCTTTCTTTACTGAAAATATGGATTCTTTAACGAATTTTGAAAAAAATTTATACTAATTTCTCTAATTTTAAATAATATCACTGTTATAATATCTGTTTTAAATTGATATTATTTAAAAACAACGCCTGTTTTATAACTTTATTTCCTTATTGTTTTCATTAATGTTTTAACTGAAGTTATGAAGACATTACCTTTACATTAGAGTTCCCTAAATTTAACCATAATAAAGAAATGGCTCGAAATAAACAATCTTGATTTGTATCGGAAAAAATCAAAAACTATGTAATTGCATCATAAACCTCAACAAGCATTCCCTTCATAAATTAACCGATAAAATAAAAATGAAAAACCGATTATTTAAATCAAAAGTCAAATAGAAAATAAAAACAAATATATTTTAATTTAAAGCCTTAAAGCTCATTTCGATTTGCAAATTTCGGTGCAAATAACGAAAGTAAATGTTCAGCTTTAATCACTTCGATTTCGTGATGAAAGTTTCCCGGAAATTTTAAACTCGCGAAATATGGAAATTTTCAAAAAAGATAAGTTATTTTATAATTATGAGTGAAATTTCATGTCTTATTTAGGCAGTTGTTAGGGACAATTTTATGGTAAGATGTTGTGAAGCAGATTATAAAAATTTAAGAAAGCCCACTTTGAAAAACAATTTTTCTGGTATTTTGTTGAGTTTTTTTTTGTAACTATAATTAGAACAACGATATATTATTTTCAAGGTTTTCTTTAAAATGTCTTATCTTCCTATATTTATGAAGGGTAAAGAACTCGATGTCATCTGCCCTTCTTCTAGGATTAACTCTTACTTTCGAACTTTTTTAGAAACCATATCTCAAATCCATTGTAAAGTTAGTATCTGCTAAGTTAGCATATCTTTAACGTGCTTGTCACTTTCCTTTCTATTCTTTATCTCTATAAACCTATATGCCGTCTTTGTATGAAATACAATTGCCAGATTTGGTGCGGATTTTCGAATGATGTCCTTTCACTTTTAGACAAGTTGCAAAAACACAATGTAAACATTTATTGATTTTATAATCGGCGCTGCTCTAAAGTGCTAGCATTTTTTATGCCATCGACTAAAAGTCAACCTTGTGTTGCTCGTCATTCAATGAAGTCTTACTCTTTTACTTTGAATGTTCCTAAATTCTCCAAAAGTTCTTATTCGTCGAGTTTTTTCCTCAAACATCAGTTCTTTGGATTTCGCTCCCTTTATCTTGTTTTCCTTATTTATACAACTTTTGTTAAATTTTTTAAGTCGCTTGCAAATTGTTATTTTGCTTTATAAGCTTTATCTTTTCTCTTTCAAAAACTGGCTTAGATGCGAATCGGCATAAGCTCTCATTTGCAGAGTTTGCAAACGTTCGAATCGGCATATGTGCAAACTGGTATTAAGGCGAAGCAAAAACTAGAATTGGCATATTAATATGAACTGAACTGGCAAATTTTGCAATTCAATAACTAGAACTGGCATAAATGCCAATTGGCATAATATGATTATCCAAAAAGTACGTAAGCTCATAAGGGGGAGGAGGGAGGTCTTCAAAGCGTACGAAAGCATATAGAGGGAGTGGGGGAGGGTTCATTTTATAAGTACGTACTTCGATTTTCTAATTTATCACAATTAACTAGCTAATCAATACAAAAGTTGAAATTATGACTAAAGATCCTAGTTTACCAACATAAAAAGATTTATGATATAGGGACTAAAGTTTCCCTTTATGCACGCACATGCATGGGCGCCCGCAGAATTTTTTGATGTTCCAGATCACTTTCACACATTGTAGAGGCAAATTTGTGTAAACAAGTTAATTCCTTTCTTCTCCCTTAACAAAATCTCAAAATTGAGCAGAACAATTCAAGTCCTACGTAAACTTTTTATTTTTATTTTTTCAGTTAATAAAATATAATAGATTAAAACATTAAAAAACTACGAAAGTTTCATTGCATCGATTAGTAATGACGTTGGCGCATTTTGGCAAAGACATTTACTAAACCATCAAGGTCTAACGATTTAACTAATTTAGGCTTGACAGCCATTGGCAGTAGAAAAATTAGTCTTTCGTTACCACAGGTTGTTCTGAGAAAATTTTTCCCGCGTTACAAAACTGAGAAATGATGTTTATTTGATACTGTCTTAACAGGTAGTGTCAACACGATTTTTAATAATTTTAACACTTTTGAAATAGCATTTGACCATTGTTTCAAGCTCTCATCTAAATCAAAAATATCAACAAATTTTCCTTCTGTCTGACAACATATCTCCTGGAATGATTTAGCTGCTAGTACTTGCAATCAGAAAACAACTTCATCGAAATGACGTAAATACAATTTTGCAAGGGTTTCAAATTTGTCAACATCCTAATAGTATTTCTGATTGTGATGTTCAAATGCATAAATTGCATTAAAAAGTAATTCATTTTGCAGCTCTAGATGATGGTTCATTGGATATTGAATCAAAACATTGGGCAACACAATAGTTCTAGTCTAATCCTATGTAAACTACTTTGTCATAAATAAAATTCGCAAGTGATTCGGCATCAACAGCACTCATATTTATTATTATTTTTCTTATTTTTTTTATTAATTTGCATTTAAAGATAAGAAATACAAAAAGATAATACAGATAATATTATAGTCACTCTTATGTAACACCGACAAAAAAAAAAAAAAAAATTAAACTAGTTAAATTATGATACGTTCCACTTAATATCTCTCGTATCTGCCCACCATAAATGTAACGAGATATTAATGCTAGTTGTTCAATTTTTTGAAATATCTGAAAATATTTGAAAAAACTATAATTTTTTTAATCTTCACACCAAAAACTTTAATCAAGTCATTTTGGCAATCATGGGACATGTAATGTCCAAGCGAACGTTCTAATTTTAATTTTAGATTTTCATCTATTTCCGAAAACTCATTCATTAATTTGAAAAACTTTCCTTTGTTTTCTGACTATTCTGTGTCATAGTGGCCACGAAATGTAATACAATGCGACTTATATCAATATCCATATAAGGTGAAAATTTAAGATTGTGAGTACTGTTGCAACCAGCACCAAACTTAAACTATCTTTACAAACAGCGTATTGAAGCTATTTATAAAGATAGTTTAAGTTTGGTTTCACATGTTTAAAATACAAAATAGTAGGTTAAACATAAAAATCAGGACTTTACTTTGTTAGGAAAAAATGCAATAATTAAAAATGATATTTTACTTTGTTATTATATTTGCAATAGAGAATTGAGCTAATAAAAACGCGTTATTTTATCAAAAAAAAAAAAAAAATACCAAAGTATAAATGATATTTTACTTCGTTATTATATTTGTAATAGAGAATTTAGCTAATATATATATATATATATATATATATATATATATATATATATATATATATATATATATATATATATATATATATATACTGGAAATAAAAAGCCTGTATCTAGCGTTTTAGGGCATTTTGTTCCTAAGTCCCAGCCATCTCATTTTTTTGTACAGTCTTTTCATTTGACTTAGGTATTAACTTTCTTAAGTTTGAAGTTTATACACTATGTGAAAATTTCCATCTGGGAGAATAAAAAATCATGCGGGCGCCCACACCCATATGCTAATCCTTATATACTGGCCCTGAGTTAGGCGTATGTTAGGCAATCTATTTTTTGAGTCGACAAAAAATAGGTTTTAGCAGTGCCGTGGCTCCTCAAAAAAAAAACGTGTCATTATGGTCTCAAATCTTCTAATTTTTACCGTTAGGTTTTGCTAAAATGAAAAGCTGCTTAAATTAGCAAAAGTAAACAAATTTGCTGAAAAAAATCTCCCCCTCCCCAAATTTAGGGGTAGGCTACGCATACCCCTCCCCAAATTTAGGGGTATGCGTAGCCTACCCCTAAATTTGGGGAGGGGGAGATCAGCAAATTTGTTTACTTATGCTAATTTAAGCAGCTTTTCATTTTAGCCTAATCCAGATTTCGCGATTATAATAAAATCCTGACCGTAATATAATAAGCGCTTAAATATCGAATTCGTTTTTAATAGTGATAAGTTATACCTAATTTTGCTATAATATATTAAAAATAATTATCTAATACAATATACATAACATTTATCTACCAATCGCAAATTGTTATAGGAAAATAAGTATAAACGGTTTAAATAAATTTAGATAGTTCAGGTCTTGATTTTAAAAAAAACGCGAAACCTGGATTTGCTTATTGTAAAAAAGTATCTACCAAAATGATTTGACCAGGTTTCGAACTCCGGACTCCGTCGTCGACTTTCACAACACTAAACTCGCGGCCAACCTAACTAATTGTTATTAAGTAATTTAACTTTATCAAAATTATTATTTGTATATATAATTAAAGAAGTTTTTAATTTGGATCATGTATCGCAAACAAGAATATATAATTTGGATCATGTATCGCAAACAAAGGGCTTTGGATTTGTATAAAATATCTAAGGTAGCTCCGCCACTTTTTTTTTTTTCAATAAACTTTCTTATTGAAAAAAATAAATTAGGGATGGGGGAGGGGGTATTTAAAGAACGTACATTCTTTTTGAGGGGGGTGGAGACTTTAAAGTACGCGTGGCAACAGGGGGGAGGCGGTCAAATTTCAAAATTTTTGGCGTACGCACTTAATGGACGAC